CGCACACACGCTCGTAGCGTGAAATATTCTTCCGCGCGAAATTAGAATTTCGACGAACGACGACGCGCGGGAAAATACGGGAAGCTGGTCAGCTTTTGTACCGAGCGGCTCTATAGTCGTAAAACATATTCGAATTTTTCGCCCGCGCTTTTCCCGTGCTTCGTACGCTTTTTCCTTCGTTTTACTCGCGCACGTATTCTCTATTCGTTGCGCCGTCGTGTTTTAAGGGATTGTTCCCGGCGAAATTTATACGGTTGTTAGATCGGTTAGATTTGACACGTTTGGTATCCATCCGGAAATAAATATTAACTCGACCGTGTATCGACCGATCATGTGTCTAACGTTTCCCACCGTTTCTTATTTTAATTTCGTTCACTTTCTCTCGAGTGTACTCGTCGCGGGAGGAAAAATGGCACGGAAACAACTAAATTAACGAAGTCAGGTGTAGCGAAGTCTGCAGAAACTGTTTGCGACGAGGGATAACGAACGAGGGATTCCATTGATATTTCCGAGCGGCGTATAACCGTACAATAACCGTATATCGTTCGCAACACGTTAGCGGTAATAAACGCCTCGTCCTCGAGGTACGGTCTCGCATACAAACAGCTGGCAATCGTTGTCTGATCGACAAAACGTTCGTGTGACCAGTCGTGGAGGAGCAGCCACGTCGATTCCGTTGGCTGTTGCCATCGAGCGGGGGACCTCGCACTTCCATTAAAATGCACGCAACAACGCGGACACGCCGATGCCCGATCTGATGTCGTTTCCATCGCATCGTGCTGTTAGATGTGCCCCACGACGGCCTTTATCGAACGAGATGCACAATTACCAGGTGCAGGCGATCCTCTAATTATTTCGAGTTCGATGTAAATTCGTACGACGACGGCGGCGGCGGGAACTCATCGTTGTCCCGAAATACCCGGCTGCCGGGATGTTTTAATCATTTCAGACGTGAGCGAAATAATTCATTCGCGTTGCTATTTACCGCGTCAATTATTAAAAGTGCATTATGACGTCGTCCCAGCGACGATCCCTCTGACGTCGCGCGCACGTCCGCCGGAGTAAGTAGATCGCAATTAATGAAGTAATTAATCATGGGATAATTGAACGAATTAAAATCGGATAATCGAGTCGGCGAGCGCTCGCGCGCGCTGTAATTTCGATTCGCGTCCCCCTTCTTTGTTTGCTCGCGCCGCTGAGTAGGAAAACCACCAGAAAAGTGAAGCAGGGGACAGAGGAGAGGGGGATCCCCAGACTCGCCTGATCTGCGAAATATCGACGTGCTGCTGTTAATCGCGTCGATGATGAAGTTTTATTTACTTGTCTCGGAGAGTGACGCGATTTATGGAACGTACGGAAGGCGCGGGATTGTCGAATAATCGAGGAGACTGCTGAAGAAATGAGCCACGAGATCGAATGGCAGATCGAGGTTTGATCTGATTTTTCAACGTACGTTTTCAGATTTGCCTTACAAGAAGTAACTGTCGCTTTTTTTTTTTTTTTATATGTATGCTTGCAGATGAATGTTTCACGAGAAACAAAAGCTTTGTTGGACGATACATTGTCCACTTTGTTCGATCACCTTTTGCTATTTTTTTTTTTTTTTTTTTTTTATGGCAACTTTATGATTCCGCGTTCTTTCGACAAGAAACAAGAACGATTCGAAAATCAATTTAGCAAATTTAGCAAACTGAAAATCAATTTAGCAGTCGAAATTTAGCGAAATCTCTTCTGACACTGTCCTAGTTTCGGAGCTTCTTGACTTCTTTCCATTTTGATATCGACGCCAAACGAGATCGTGCAGTTTCTTTCCCTAAAACAACCTTGAACAATCAGCCATCGGTATGCAGAATGAATTTCCGATTTAAAATAAAGTTGGTTACATTTCGAGATATATGTCCATACGTTGGAAAAGAAACGCAACTATTCTTTGGCTAATCCAAAGTTCACAATAATATTTGCGTTGAAATGCTGATGAAACCCTAAAATGCAACGTTCGGTTCGATGCGTTCAAAGACGACTTCTCTACATGAAAGTAAATCTGCGAGCACTTTCGCGAACCACTTTCGTTTATCCTCCGCGCTATTTCAAAACTCGTTTACGTCATTCATTTCATGAATTAGTGACTTAAAATCAGCGGCAGACGTGAAACAAGAGCATCGATCGAGAAAAGATCGCAGACGAATAAAAATGATAACCAAAACATCTTTCAGCAAAAACGCAGCAAGTTTCGTTCCCCTCCTACCCGTCCACGCGCGATCGAAGATGACGCGACGATGACGAAAGTCATTAGCTCTACGTCGGCGTTCAATTAATCGTTCCAGCCGGTTGCGAGTTTCGATTAACCGATTACCATCGACAAAGTACAAACATAGAGCTTAATTGGATGTTCGATCGTTTTCGATCGAAGGAACGAGGAGGATGGTCGGGCATCCGGACGCGAAAACGAATTCTCGAACGTTATGCAAACAAACGTGTGTGAGCTTCGCTCGGTAAGAGGGGTGGGGAAAGGGGTATAAAAGCAGCCGGACAGCAATTAAAATTGGAACTTAATGAGACCCGAGCGAGTCGCGCACGAAGAAGAAGACGAAGAAGAAGAAGAAGACGACGACGACGACGACGACGACGACGACGACGACGAGCTTCTCTTTCAACGACGCGAAAGGAAGGACAGGAGATCTTTTCACAAACGCACGAGTCAGCGCGGTCGCGTTAATCGTGTGGCATTTCCTTCGCCCGTTATTTCGCTATTATTTCCCCCGAGTGGGCAGGAACGAGCGTATCAGCGACGAAGACCTTCGTTTGAGAAGAAGAAGAAGAAGAAGAAGGAGAAGAAGAAGAAAAAACAGGAGAAAAGAAAGAAAAAGGGTGGAAAAAAGAGGAGATAAGAGGAGAGGAGGGGTCGAAGGGAAGAGCAAGTGGAGGAGGAAGTGGAGAGACGAGGAGTCTGGCCGGTAAACGGAGTAATCATTTTATCCCGCTTTAAGGGAAGCACTTGAAAGTGTCGTATAATTTCTCCAGAGCACGCGCCGCGCTATTTATGCGCGTAACTCGCGTTTTTCCCGTGGCCGCGAGTCTACTCACTCGGGTTTTAGCATACTCGCTGAAGCTAAGCAGTTTCGCGGATGAATATAAATAGACACGCGTATGTCTACTTACTAGCCTGTTTCAGCTAGAATCTCCGAAAAAATCGACCTGCCATTACGGACGCGAATCGGTGACAACTCTCGCCAATAAATCGGCGTTTTCGGTTAAACGTTGGACGAGTGCTATACTGCAGTGCAACAAGAAATGGTTGCTTAGCAATTGGATTAAGTGGAAGCTGGTGGACGACGACGTTCCGCGAAGCACGCGTTCATTACCGATGGAAGAATGCTGTTGCGCTTGATTGAAAGATCGAAGGCTAATTCGTTCGTAGAGACACGACAGAGAGACGCTCTGTCGTAAATAGGTTATCACGATGGTCTTTTCCCTCCGCTCGATTCGAAACGTGTTGACGGAACGAGTTCCTGTTCCCGTCTTTGAGTCGAGATTTCGGAATTGCGTGGAATTTTAACAAAGTCGGCTGCAATCGGATTACGAATCGAAACGAAACAAAACGAATTATTCCGCTGCTACGAGATTTCGTTCACGAGCAGAAACGCAAAGGCGATAGGAGGTTACGTTTCGTCTCGTTGGCGTTAATCAGACGAGACACTATGGAAGCCGTACTCCGAAAGACGCGACGACACGTATCAATGGATATCTGCAACGAAATATGGTGGTCCATGAAGGACGGGGCTCGTGGTTGGCCAGCGATAAGTGACGTACGCGGCTGGTGGGTGGGGCAAAGAGGCTGAAAGTAATAAAAATAAGTAATTACTCGAAGTAATCGGCTACCATTCCGGATTCTCGAGGACCATGGTCGTTCAATTAGCTGAAAGTGTTCTTTCACTTCCACCGGTTACCGCGGCAACCATTGTCCGGGACCTTCAGGAATTCATAGTTGAAACACAGGGAGACGCGGAGCCGAAATGCTCGCTGTTCCGATTTTTTTCTTTTTTTTTTTTTTTTTTTGTTTTTCTTTTCATGGTTTCTCGCGCGACGGACAACCTCGACTCGATTGTAACCTCGTCGCGTTACAAATAATCCAAATAGCCGCGTTGGCAGGCTGCTGCAACGTCCTTCGGCCGAGATAAACCTATTGCAGATTGTAATAGGCAAAAAAAGAGTGGGCTTAATAACGCTGACCAACGACGGTGAACAGCAAACGAACCTTGTCGTCCCCCGTCGTCATCGTCGTTCTCACCCTCCGCCACGGCCTCCTGGCCGTCGTCGTCATCGTCCTCTCGTCGTCGTGAAACAGGGACACAGAGCGAGACCCCAAGGTGGGTGGAGGGAAAGCAGAGAGAGGCGGAGCGTAATAAAAATAAGTAATTACTGCGAGTAATCCTCCCCCTCCGCCGCCCTGGCCTCCTCATCTTGCCGCCACCCCTCTCGTTCTCCACGAGAGTCGTTCAATTAACGGGAATACTGTTGTCTTCCCTCACTACGTTTCCCTTCCATTCCCCCTCCGGCAACTGGAACCCCATCCCACGCCCAGCGTCCGCGAAACCCGCGAAATGTTTCACTCGTAAAGTCGCGTGGAGTGCGGACTGCGCTCTCTGTACACCGAGAGGTAGGGCGAAAGAGGGGAGATATCGATGCCCCTCCTTCACTCACGCCCCTGACGTCCATCTATCCTTCCCCTACCGCGCGCTCACCCCGTCCCCCCTGCCTTCCCCGTCCCCCCTTCCGTAGCATCGCGCGCCATCCCTCTCGCGCTTCTCTCTCTCCCTCCCTCTTCGCGTTTCCATCCCCACCAGGTGGCCACCGCGGCGCTCCCCTCCACCCCCTCCAGTCGCCCTCCGTCCGTCCCTTGCAGCGGACTCGCTCGCGCGCCAGGCGCGCTCACTCTGGCCCGCTGCACGGCCCGAGCCGGAGTGGGGGAAAGCTCGAAAGCCCCACTCGCTCGTCCGCCGTCGTGCTGTGCGGTTCGTGCCGTGGTTCGTACATGTTCTGCGTGTCGCGCGGTGTGCTTTCGCGTCCGACCCGAAAGTCGGTTTTCGTTACACACCGGCTTCGTTGCTGTCCTCACCTTTGACAGCCGCGTCGATTGCCGCGCGTTCCCGAGCGAACAGTTACGCGAGACTCGCCGCCGCGTCTGTGCTCCCCGTATATCGACTGACACCGCGAATTGAAGCACTCGTCTCGCCTCGGCTGTACGTGCGTCGTCGTTGCCTCGTCGTGCCTCCGATCCACTCCGGTCAAGTGGAACCAGCAGCCGAACGACTGACGCAACTGTACTCCCCGCGTCCACGTTACTTACTGCGCCAGGACTTCTACCCTCTCGGATGACAGGGGAAGGTCACACCGTCTGCGTGTCGTTGAGGGAAGAATTCGTCGGTGATCGAGCGGACTGAGGTACGGCCCGGAGGGTAGACGTCAAGCTGCACCGTGTGGTCGTCGGTGCGTCACGAGAGTCGTTAGGTGCGGGATTCGCGATACGAAGCGGAGCTTAAGATCAATAGCCGAGCGTGCAAGACGCGCGGGCTTTCGAACGAAAGCTTCGCGTCCTCGATTCCACGGTGTGTTTCGACAGAGTGACAGGTGGATTCTTCGTTGCGCTGAGAGGGATCGTGATATCACGACCGGAGGACCGGTGTGCGTTGACACCTGCGTCCGTGGCTCCGATTGGACCGCTCGTGGCTCGTAATTTTCCACGCATTGTACGATCGTTCTGTGAACAACCGTCGGTTCATCAACAAGCATCGTCGCCGGTGTCCCCAAGAAGAAGAGTAATCGTGCCCTTGCACGTTAGAGTGTCGTTCGTCGATCCACAACATTGTGCAGAAAGTGTTTCTTTCCTTTTTTTTTTTTCTGTTTGTTGTCCGTTCGCGACGAAGCGACTCCAGGGAATATTACCTGTCGACCAAGAACACAGCCTACGCATGCCGTGCATAGAGGTAAGAAACTCTCGCACCTTTACCACGGGCAATCGAGACTCGCGTGAGCTCGTCGTGGCTTTCTGGCTCGATCCTCGTGCACGTTATCGCGGCGCCGGCGATGCTGTCTATCGAAGAAACCGATATCGATGATCCCAGATAACAGTTAGAAAGTTCTCTCGATCGCACAAATTCGAGTGGAGCCGCTGTACATTCGTTTTAATCGAAACCTCTACCGAACGATCGTCGTCGAGAGAGACTTTCCGCGTCTGTAGGTCAAACGAGCGCGACACGTACTCGCGCGAAGCGCTCCGAGCTGAGTTTGACGATCTCGGGTGGCGTCTCCCGTTTCCACCGGTTGTGAAACCGATGTCAAAGCGGGCGTCGTCAGTGCGAAACGGTTTTTGCCCAATGAATGGCGAGGGTATCGTGCCAACTGGTGGGCACGGGAAGACTGAGAGAAGAAATTTCCGTGTAAGGTCTCGAGGCTGGGGGCACGCAGGCGCGTCCGTCGCCACGTGGTCGAATGCTGATCCGCGCTAGCTAGCCGAGGTGTTAACCTTTTTCGAAAATCGACGGGATCAGCCAGCGGCTGTGGCTGCGGCGGTGGTGGTGGTGGTGGTGGTGGCGATGGCGGTGGCGGCGGTGGCTACACGGCCTAGCCGGCCGCGGGGAGGCTGTGCACACGCTTGGCAAAACAAGTAGTTAGTTACGTGAGCGCTGGCAGGCCGCCAAACGAGCCTCGAACTTTGAAATTGCGTTCGAGGCTTTCTTTCGCCGCGGCGATTATATGCGCGTCGGAGGAGATAGGACAATGAACGGAGGACGGGGTAAGAGGGGAAAAAGCGAATGAAGGAACGAAAGGAACGGGAAAGTGGAAAGCTTATATTCGGAGGTCTCTCCCCCCCCCCCTCTCACTGTCTCTCCGCTGCCTTGCTAGCTAGGTTGCCCAGGGGTGTCCTACCTCCTGAAACTTCGCCCTTGTTTTCTCTTTCCATCTTCTTTTCTGTAATTCACGCGGCTATCGCCGGTGTATCTCCTTTCTGGCGCGGCCAATTAGTTTGCCGCCGCTATCGCGCCTGCTGGCCAGCAGATAGCATCGGCTAAAATGTAATTGGCTCCTTATCGAGCGTGGCGGGCTTACGATTTCTGGACTGACCAGCCAGTGCAGAACCTTTTCGCCACACACGTAGCACACAAACCGATTCGATCGTCTCTCACACACACACACACACACACACTTGTTCACTTTCTTTCCATGCGTTTGGTCGAGACTTTTTCAGGACATCGCTCGACCATTTACGACGAAGGCTCGCGCGAAGCCTCTGTTTGTCAACGAAGCCTCGAAATTGCTTCTATCTGGCGCGCCATTAATCTCTGGAAGGTAACGAAAGGGAGGGAGAATACGCGATGACCAAGGGGTAAACTGGGGAAAGAATTGTTCCTTTATCGAGGCTCAGAGAGGGGAAGGCGGCAGTTAATGGAACCGACGTTTATTTTCCACGTTCCACGTTGTCGTATTCTCCACTGGGAACAACACCGGATTGGCATCTTTAACATCGATATGTTAGGTTGGAGTTAAAGAGCTGTATAGTGGAAATTGACCGATTCGAATTGCGAGAAAGATTGGTCGTAATGACAATGTTGCAGCGACGATTTTAGCATCGTCGTTTGTCACGAGGAGGGAATTTTAACAGTTATCGTAAAGGTAGGAACGAAGTCACGACGTGTTTTCGCGGTTTGGTGACTTTTAGTTTTCTCAACGTAATTATTTAAAGTGAGAATCGATTTTCACTCCTGTGGAAAGTATATCGCGTGGTAGAAACTATCATGAGCATATGTATATTCCAGTTCCGTCGTAATACCTATATTTGGACGTATGATTCAATAATGCTAGTCAAGAAAGACTATTTTAGACGAGTTCCCGCGACATACTATCGATAACATAATTTACATTGACGTGAATGCAATGCGGTTATGAAGTATTTTCACGGTTATAATGTCGCGGGTATTATTTCGGTTTGCCAACTTCGGGCCAGCGTTGTTTCGCGGCGGAGACTGCACGCGAATTTAGGGCAATTCGACTGCTTTAAGCCGGCTCTAACGAAAGATTTAACTACGGATTACTCATTGATTTCACTAATGCAGTAGGAAATTGTAGAAGCTAGTTACGATAATTGCATCAAACTTTAATTATTCAATTAATTTTTGTAGTAGAATGTTGTTTAAACTGGACGCACACATTTACAGTTAATTATAATAATTATATTGCCTCGCATAAACTTTAAATGTTTGAACATTTATTTTTATAACAGTACGATTTGATGAATAAACCTATCAGAGAATTTAAGAGAGCAGAAGTGTACAATAGATGTACAACATATAATATAGATATTTATCGTCAGACGATTCGAGAGAGCTACACGTTTGCTTTTACAATTAGTTACAATAATTATCTTCGACTTTAATTATCGCGTTAACACTAGAACTACCAAAGTAATCAAAATGACCGGTTTATAATTTTTTTTTAGAATAATTTTGCGTACTCGCAGTGTTACGTTTTTTAGAGATTCGAATGACTTTTGTAACATGTATAAATAAAAGTTCGTACACGTATTTTTCCTAGTCCACGCATTCTAATTTCTTCGACTTAATTTTTATACTTTGTGTCCCTGGTAGTTCTAGCGTTATTATCTTCGTAGCGCAGTAATTTAGAGAAATACGATTCAAGTCGAACGATTTAAGAGACAACACGTCCCACAGTGGATGCGTACGTCCGTCGTCAGACACTCGCGTAAACTCTCAAAGCTCGAAGGAGAAAAGCGGATGGAATCGATCGATCTGCCGAAATTACCAACTGTGTTTTACCGCAGCGAAATTCCTTCGCGCCGTCGCTAATAAATTCAATTAACCGTGCCTGCGTATGACAATCATTGTTCCTCGTGAGTATAACAGGTTCTCTCGTTATTACTTAAAAACAGGTTGAACGGTCGGTAGGTGCAGGATTCAGGCAGGAACCGGCCGAAGCGAAAAAACAACTTTCGGGATCTGTTTCCGTCCGTTCGAGCCAGGAACGATCGTGAACGTGCAAAAACTCGGATCTGCCGACTCATTGTTCCCCGTAGCGTGTTCGTTAATTGGAAAGTTTGACACCTGAATGAGATCGTAAAAATGTACGTTGCGGCGAGTCGGGAAGGGGAGGGGAAAGGCGCGAAAATAGTCGTCCGGGACAAGCTGGCAGGGTGAATGGAGCGTCATAAAATAATAAATTTGGTCCTTGACCACCCTGAAACCCATAACCAGCCTCTACAAGCTGTCAAACGGTCGACTCAAATACTTTGCAAGCGTGAATAGTTTCGGGTACCTGCTGCTGCACCCCGGGAACGAGGGCTATTGTCCCCCCGGATGGCCTTCGTTTTCCTTTTCGTTAGAGAAATGTGTCTGGCCCCGGCTGTCTGTTTACTTTCTGCCGAGATTTCGCATTTCATTCAGGGCCATTCTCACTTTTATGGGACATTTGTCAAAACTGCCTCGAGTTTTGTATCGAACTTTTCCCCTCGGGCAATCGAAAGGGTACAATTGCTCAACGGGTGTAAAACCCGTGTAAGGGAAATTTACAGGCGATGGTAAATGTTTATTAATAGTTTTGGTTTACGGTGTTTCAAATATAAAAATTCGGTTAACACACAATCTCGTTATGAAAATGTGAAAGATGGTTGAAAAAAAAAAAAAAAAAATACGCGAGCTTGCCACTCGACTGTTCACGCTAAAGTTGATAACCTGTTAAACATCGATGCTACACTTTATCAAATTAATAATCACGAATTAGTAACGAAACAAAGCGTCATTGAACGGAGTGCGCGGGCGTGCGTGTGCGTAGTTGTTTGCAACAGCGGCGACTAGCTTTTTAATTTCGTTCGAGCAGCGATTCGATTTCGTGGCGCATCTGCCACGCATACGTGGTAGTACGCGGAGTTCGCATCAAATGAAATTCAACAAAGGATCCAATTAAGTCCAATTAGAAACGTATCGCGCGACGTGGAACAGCTGTCACGCGAGATAAGCTACAGCTTCGCGCCGCGTCAGATTAGGCTCGATTATTACCGCGACTCGATAATACGTGAAAAGCTCGGTGTACGTTTAAACGTCGCGTACGTTGAAGCGACAGAAAAGAAACGCACGACGAGATAATATTTCTCTCTCTCTCTCTCTCTGTCTCTGTCTCTCTTTCCGTGTAAATGTATGCGTGTTTTACGGAACAGAGAAACTCAATTATCGTCCGGTACCACTGTCCTGCCAACGTAAAGACTTCGAATTATCGTTCGTACAACCGATACAGTCGAGTACCAACTTCTCCCGCGACTCGATTCGCAAACGAAGCAAGATTTTTATTCCTCGCGGAGACGAGACGCGATTCCTTCCCCCCTACGGCCGCGTCTTATCGGCCAACGTTTCGCCAACTTCGACTTATAATCCCGCGTGCATCGCCGGTTTCAGCCTGCTGTTGTCTTTTTCTTTTCTCCTCTTTTCGCGCCGCTCTCTCCGCCCGGACAGGCGCGACCAGCTAGAGCAGACGTCTTGTCGTACGAAAGTGGCAGTTTGCAATTAAACGACGATGTTATCGTAAAGGACCTGTAGGTTGAGTGTACATGGCAGCGAATTAAAATGTAAATACTTGATTAAAGTTAATCCCGGCCAGGTGAATAAACCTGCTGTGGCGGGAGACAGAGGAACACGAGGGACGAAGATGGTGGAAGGACGGCGAAAGAGAAAGAGGAGGAGGAGGAGAAGGAGGAGGAGGAGGTGGAGAGGAGGTGGAGAGGAGGGACGGACGCGAGGGTTACGGACGTGGTTGAAGAGAAAGGACTGCGGAGGGATCGGAAGAGTAGCGGCGAAGAGGGAGAGAACGGGGGTGAAAAGCGCGAGAGAGCCGTCGGTCCTAAGGGGTGGTTTTTATTGCCAGTTTTTATTAGCTGAGTAGGTGTACTCCATTCTGCCTTCTACCCCTTTCCATGCCATCC